CTAAACATTCTTCTACAAGTCTTCATCATTTGCTGGATGATGCTAATATGATTGAAGGAAACAAAGTCAGGGTGAATTAGTGTTTTATTTTACTGTTCATATAGGTTCTGTACAAAATAGGATCAAATAACTATTTTTTTTTGTTTCTATTTTTGTTGCAAATTCCACGACCACGACACAAATTTTACGTTGGTAAAGCTAAATTCCTACAAGGTTCAAGCAAAAAAAAATGTGAGATGAAACTTACAAATGTAAACAATGCAAAAACTCCACTTTGTCAATCTGAATTTTGAAAGCCGAAACCTGGCATATTCATATGATTTTATTTCTGAATTATAGTACCCATAGATAAAAACTTATAAATCTTTAAATATAAGTGATATAAAAAAATATTCATAATTTAGGGTTGAGCCTCATACTCAGTAATACTCAGTACTCATGTGTCCATGCACCGATGCGCGCGTAGTGAGTATGGTGCGGTTTGTCGACACAATTCGTTAGTTCGTTTGGAAATTCGTCCATTGTGTTCATGATATTTCTTTTGATGGTTCTCCGAAAAACCGACATACCGACGAACAACCGCAAAACACGCCGCATTGGTGCATCAAATCGACGCATTATCGAATCGCATCAGCGCATAGTGAGTACGAGGCTTTATAAGTACAACATTTATAACTCCAAAACAGCACAACCGTTTTTTTTATTGGTTTCCTCCCGAATAGCAGATTGACTATGAAAATATCGAAAAAATTCACGAAACAAAAGATTATACTGGAAGTTAATTTTTAAATAAATTAGGTTTGGAACTCCGCTATCTTACTGAAATATTAGAGTGGGAGAGAGAAAGGGAGTGCCTTCATGTTGTTTATATTGGATCAATGCGATGTATTGACATGTATGGCTTTACGTAAACATGCTTCTATAATACATTATCGTCCCTGAGCTCATACCCTATTCACCTACTAGAACAAAATAAAACAGAAACAACTATTAAATCGACATCCATCAAGCTAAGTCAATAAATTAAGTTGAAAGACAAGAAAATGTTTATGCGATGGCGTTGTTCTAACTGCGCGGAAAGATTGCAACAATGAATTACAATTTAACAAGTACATTCTATTATTTTTGCGTTAGTATAAGCAATTTACCGATCTTAACTAAATGCTAGTACACACTCATTTGTTATTACAAATTTATTAACAATTCCCATGGCCTGTTACAACTACAAGTCTTTAACGATAAACAGTCGTGTATTTTACACAGATCTTCTTATTTACATCATTTATAGCTGGGATATTACATTATTTCTTCATACATACATCAGGCAAAGAAGTGGAACCACCAGCCGTCCAGAGCTCTCCTGTAAAATTAGTAAAATGGCACCTAAAATGTTTTTCCCTTTATCTAAATAAGCATTTCCTGAGAACTACACTTTGATCGGAAAAAAATAAGAATTTTTGATTTACAACTAAAAATTTAATATTTAAGATATTATATAAATTATCGGAATGCACTTTTATATTGTTACTTTTATATTGTTACATTTATATTCTCATTCTGATACACAATCCCGAGATTATAAGTTCTTATCACGGGATTTCAAAACGGGATCCCGATCCCGAAAATTGGAAACCCTAAAATGTGATGCCATGTAGTGAAACTATATTGAAAGAACTAGTCTTGGAAGCCAGTTTCATTAATATTTCCTCATTATACTTTCTCACATTTCAGTTTGTATTCATTGTTCACTCAAAATGAACAAATGTGGAGGTAACTCTCACTTTTACTGAATGTATGAATATACTGATCAGTTTCTCTGACAATGTGTCCACACGTTCAGTAACACCAAATCAATCATACTGCCATAGTGAGCCTGCTATGTGACAATCCCCCGTAGAGTAAATTTGTTGAGTACATTTGTAAGTTTTTTGTATTACAAATTGTACATTGGTCAGTTTTTTGTATTGATCAAATTCCTACAGAGTAGGGCAAAAGGGTAGAGCTTGAAATTGAGCAAAGCATTAAATAAAAAGAGGCAATACGAAGTTATGTATCTAATAATACTGTCGCATTTTTCACCCCTCAACTTATCCCATAACGATTCAGTCCTAGATATCGCACAACCTATTCAAAACTTTATTTAACCTATTAAAAACTGTATTATTTCAAAAGAAATAGTTTTTGAGATTAAGTACTTCAAAAACAATACCCTTCTAATCTGATTTATGCCCCAGAAAATTGATAGTAAAATTCTATAAAAATCCACTATAATAAGATTTAAAAAGCAGCATATTGTTTTAACTTAAATTTTCTTTTGCTTTTCCTGAGAAGATTTTATCCAGAGATTATGGTGTAGCCTCCCTCACATATTTGTATTTTTCTCTCTTTGTAGTTAGGCCCATTGTTGTCTGTTGCTGGCTATGCGGCTCAAGTTATCGCCGCTAATTTCCTAATATCATTGTTGAGGAAAAGTTTCCTTCTACTATGCTAATATCAGGACCTCATCTCACATCTCAGGTTTGGCGTTCTTCTAGGTCACTTAATCCCCCGTGGATACCATGCTGTAATTTTTGTGGTCCATCTGTTGTCCGTCCTGCTTGCCAGGTGTCCTGCCCATTGCTACTTGAGGGATTTGATTCTGTGGATGACATCTATTACCTGGGTTTTTTGTCATATCCACTCTATTCTTGTACGGTCTTTTTTTGGTTATTCCCAGCATATTTCGTTTTATTGAGCATTGTGCGACTTGCAGTCCCTTATAATGTCCGTTTTAAGATTGATTCTCACTATACCTTCCATATCAGCTCCCTTTCGTTTCCCTTCCATTTACATAAAATATTATATCATGTAAATGAATAGGACAATGCACACTATCCGTTCCGTTTCCCTTCCGTTTCATATCCTTTCCTTCCATACATTTTTTTGACGGACGGCCTGAAGCGTATCGGAAACAGCGTTGTCAAGTTCTTACATTTTATAACCCACAAAATTCTGGATGTTCATGAATTTAGAAGTATGCTTTGGAATTAAATAAAACAAGATCTTTTTTTTTTAAATACTACCTATATTCTAACTTATACTAATACAATTGGCTGGCTGTGACAGTCTTGACTATATAAGGTTAGATACAATATAACTGGGATACTTAAATTTTCATCTGCTTCGGTTGGTTCGTTGGTTGGGAGAAAGGCCTCACCCTTTTCGCTGCACTCGTCCGCTGGTGGGTAGCGTAACTGTTCGGCTAACGTTGGAGAGCTTGTGAGACTCCACCAGTCTCAGTGCGTGAGCTACTTATGGGGAGGATCAATTCTCGTATCTTCCTATAAGATAACAAACAGCAGTATGGTATTCGAAATAATGGTTAAGTACCCAGTTATGTGGTAGTGTTCAACAGTACCAAGTCGACTGTCTGTTGTGGCCAATAAAATGTACAATGACAGTAAATTAAAATTTAGATCAAAGGTATAGTTATTTACCTTAACAATATTTAAATAAAATCTAATTACTACTAATAAGAATAAAAATTAAAGCTAGCTTTAAAATTAAAATTTAAAATTGATCAATTTTAAAATACAAAAGCCGAAAGGCATCAAAATCAAATAATTGCTGAAAATAAATTGTTAAATAGAACCGTAGTAAAATTATCTAAAATCGTACCTTCAGCGTGCAGTCTTGAAGAAAAAAAATAAAAAATCTCAAACAGATTGGACTAATGGCCAAATGCCCAGAGCAGAGATGAGAAGAGAAGAAGGCAAAATTTTAAAATTTTTAGTTTCTCCAAACCAAACCATACCCCTTCTCCCGAAAATCTTGACATATCAGATCGAATTAAAAATAGTCATGCGTTGTTAAACTAATTCTCGATAAAATTTCAACTACTAATAAAAATAATACTTAACGACTCCTTACATACCTTAAAAATTAAGGAAACAATTGCATCTTAATCAATTAGCACTGATAACAAGGAAAATTCACTTAACCTCTGTTAAAAAAATAAACAAATGAATCTCAAACAGTAGGTAGGCAACCAAAAATTGCAACTATTGTATTATGAATTGCCTAAAACAATCTACGGTGTTTTACAGTCTGCAATATTTTGTACACCGTACCATTTGGTGTAATTTGGTACTCCATGGATTCTCGTGATGGATGGCACGATCCATGAAAAGAGCAACTTAATTTATAATCGTTGAACAAAAACATATTAAAATCCAAATAATAAGTTCAACTTTGCTAAGTACCACTGAGAATTATTAAAGAACGATAAAAAATATATTTTAAATTAATCGATCAATAATATATATACTAATTATATATTAACATAATAATAATAAATATAATATTAAATTATATATACGATAATTATTATAAACAATTGATTAACGAATTGAACGTTTATCTAATTCTAGTATCCGACGCACAACATCCAACGGGGAAAAAGTATGGTACCGGAAGGCCGAGTGTCAATGCGAGTAAAATAATAAGATCAAACGAACTTACCTTAAGTGATGTTCGATCTTGATTATATTACTGTTCCGTCGAAGTAAATAAATGTCTTGTAGTACCCCCGCTTCCCGCTCCGGACCACAGATTTTTAAAGAAAGAAGCCTACTTCCCCTAGCACGTCACTCTCGGCTCTGACCTTCGGTATCATCCAGTTATTTTAAAGTTGTTGTTGCAAAAGGGTAATGATTAATTTTAAAATTCTATATGTGTATCTATTTTAATTATTCATTTATTTATTTTTTATTGGGTAGGGAGGGATTTATTTACTTCGACGGAACAGTAATATAATCAAGATCGAACATCACTTAAGGTAAGTTCGTTTGATCTTATTATTATATTACTGTTCCGTCTCGTAAATAAATGTCTTGTAGATGTTTAAAGCATAATGCAACAACCAAAGAACTAAAGAAAATTTATTTCTTAAAACAAATAAAGAGCAAAAACTTTGTAACCTATGAACAAAACTTTCCAAAGATAAATTAAATTTCTTGACATTTTTTTTTTTTTTTTTTGGAATGCCTAAATCTAACATTTATGAATCTAATACAACTCTTGCAAACTCATCATTGTCAATAACAGGACGGTTGTAAAAATTAGCAAACGTTCTGGAGTCCTTAGACCATCCTGCCGCTAATCTTATGGTATCAAAACTGACCCCAGCCCTTGCTGCCGAAGAAGTTGAAGCATGTCTTGTGCTTTGTGGTTTAAATATTGACATATCCACCCCGCTCTTTTCTAATATGTTTTTGATCCATCGGCTTATAGTAGATGTAGAAGCCTTCTTATATGGTCTTTTAAATGTGATAAAAAGTGAATCACAAGAATTTCTCAATTCTTGTGTAAAGCTTAGGTACCTTTTAAGTGTCTCGGCAACACATAATTGAGGATCATTAAAAAATGGCAAAATTAAGAGGGGCTGAGATTTATTTATTGATGAAGTTTTAACACGGTCTGATATTTTTATTAATATTCTGTTAGCTTGGATTGAAATGTTACCAATTTTAATAAGGGCCAATATTTGTAATCGTTGGCCGGTAGCCAACGCCAATAAAACTGCAAGTTTTTTGCTTAAGGTCTCTAGGGGAAGAGTATTAGTTTCAAGTGTCTTTACATAGGAAAGTACTATTTGCGGATCCCAAATATTCTCATATCTAGCCTTAGGTGGTCTTTGACCAAAAATTCCCTTGAAAAAACGCTTGACCCTAAAATCTTGACCTAAGTTCGGCCCCGCAATTTGAGATATGGCGGATCTAAACGAATTGAGGGTCCCATAAGTGGCGCCAGCATTAAAATGTATAGTTAAAAACTCCAGAACATCTTCGACTAATACATTGTATGGATTACTATTCTTGTTCATACAAAACGTCCACCATAAGCGTAGACCCCCACTATACTGTTTTAAGGTCGATTCTGTGATTGAGGCTAAACATATGTCCAAGGCCTCTAAAGGCACTCTTCCCTGTAGTAGCGCTTCCCTGACAACCTCCCGGCTACCAGGGAAAGCTTTTTCCATAATGGGTGGGGGGCTCCGCTAAATGAAAGTAAATTTATATTAGGTTTGAATATTAAGGGCTCTCCTATCAATAGGGATTTAAATATGGGATACCAAGGTTGAGAACACCATCTAGGCACGACAACAATGCCCTCAGCTTTGTCTTTTTTAATTTTTTGTAATACCCTTAATATTAAAGAAAAAGGGGGAAATGCGTAAAAGTTCATCTCTCCCCAGTTAAAGGTAAAAGCATCCACCCCCTGAGCCTCTGGGTCTTTAACCCAAGATATGAAAATATTACATTTTTTGTTAGTGCGACTCGCAAATAAGTCAATTTTTGGGTCGCCAAATTTTTTACGGATTTTAGAAAAAGCATATTTCGATAGAGACCATTCAGTATCACTATGTAACTGCCTGGAAGCCCTATCGGCATGTATATTTTTTACTGAATTAATGTATGACGCAAAAATAAATATTTGTTTTTTCTCACAGTAGTGCCATATTTTTCGGGCTAATTTATTTAAATTTGAAAAGCGTACGCTACCAAATCTATTAATAGAAGAGATTGCAGTTGTATTATCAATTCTGCATAGCACAAAACAGTTTGATAGATTTCTGGTAAAACATCTTAATGCAAAGAAAGCTGCTAATAATTCTAGTTCATTAATATGTTTTTTCTTTTCCTGATCTGACCAGAAACCAAAAGTGGTTTTATTCTCACAATGCGCGCCCCAACCAGATTTAGAGGCGTCTGAAAAGATTTCTACAGCAAATGTTTCATTGTGAATAGTATTACTAGATAAAGCTATATGTTTTTTCCACCAGTAAAAATCAGACATCAAATGTGGAGAAATATTCATTTTTGCGTCATAATTGTTATTTGCTCGACATAAAGCCCTAATCTTCTCTCGTTCGAACAATTTAGTGTACAAAAAACTATATTTTATAGCTGGCGCTGCTGAAACCAAATTGCCAACGAATTTTGAGAAAACCCTTATGGTACAAATCCTAGTTTTAGCAAAACGTTCTAGTAGTTTTTGTAACCTAACTTGTTTCTCTTGAGGCAATGAAACAGTCATATTAACAGAATTGTATTGAAAACCAAGAAATTTACAAATTTGGTTGGGAATAAGTGTGCTTTTTTTATAATTTATAATAAACCCTAAATGCTCTAGGAAAAATATAGTCTCTTTCGTATTTATGGCGCATTCTTCATGAGTTTTTCCAAGAAGTAAAAAATCATCTATATAGGTAACGGAAAGAAAACCACATTTTCTAAGACAAGAGATAACTGGTCGTAAAATCTTCGTAAAAATTAAAGGGGCACAACTCAAACCAAACGGTAAACAGTTAAATTCGTAAATGTCGCCATTAAATTGAAATCTTAGATATTTTTTATATGACTTATGTATAGGCACCAAATAATAGGCGTCTTGTAAATCGATGTTTGTCATAAAGCAGTTTTGTGTAATTAATTGAGTAACAGTTTTGTGATTTTCTAGTTTGAAATGTGAGGTCGCTACAAACTTATTAAATGCTTTTAAATTAATAATCAGTCTATAAGATCCATCTGGTTTAGGAACTATAAAAACGTTCGATATATATTGATTTTTACAGGGTTTTACTAGAGAGAAAATCCCTTCCAATAACGATTTTTTAATCATCTTATCAATGATGACACATTCCTTCTGTGATCTGATTGGTTCTAAAGGGATAAACCTTTGTAAAGGTTTTTTAACAAGAGGGATTTTAAGACCAGTTATGTATGAAATAACCGTTTTATGAAAACCTAGGATCTTCCATCTATAGGCAAAATGTAGTAGTCTACCACATTTTTTACTAACCTTTAAAGACCGTGACTCTTGTCCGGACTCTAATAATGGCGTCTCCTCTCGACGCTGCCGGTGTGTTGACGATTCTGAGACCGATAATGTGCCCTGGGCCTCTTCGGGTTGCTGCTTGGCCGACTGTTTTGTAATGGAGTGCGTTTTTGACTTCTGTGGCCCATCTGCTGCACCCCTCTTGCAAACGGGCGACGGTAGTTTCCCTGTCTCGAAGTAGTGGCTAACATGGAAGCAGATAGCTTATTTCTCTTCACCTTTAGTTGCTCGCCCGACTTCTCCAGCTTTCTTGCAGCTTCAATGGTGTTTTCTAGTTCTTTACCAAACAATAACTCGGAAATCGGAGTATTCTGTAAGGTTTCTTTAAGGTCCTTATTCAAGTTTAGTAGTAAGAGCTCTCTTCTTGACACTGACTCGTGATGAAATACATCACAAAGCAGGCGCAAAACGTCATTAGACATTTCAACCTGTTTAATATTATCCTCCCCCCCTTTTTTAACTAAATCAGAGGTAAATCGAACTAAGGCTGAAATGACCGCAGCTATTTGTTCTTGTATTTTTGATAATCTTGTGTCTCTTTTAAGGGTGTTATCCTGGACAGCTACCCTAACCTCTGGGTTAATTTTGGGAGGCACAATCTCCTTAAAATTTTCAGGGGGGAGATATTTCTTAATGAGGTCTGTCTTTACCTCCTCCTTCAACCCATTTACCAAAAGCTTTATGTAACGTGGAACTAACTCCTCAAGAATGGGTTCAGAAAAGTTCTTCTCTTGAATCTCGTCTCCTTCAAGAATAGAAATGATGTTTGTTTTTGGCCCTGTGTCTGGTGTTAAGGTATCTGTAAAAACCAATAAAAACAAGGAAATATAATATCCAACCACTCTAGGTTTTGCTAGGGAAAAACTCGAAAAAGATAGGTACTTTTCGCACCCATTTTAAGGTAGTATAAGTCACTCTAGACTCATGCTAATTTTAAGACTTTACCACTCTAGGTAAGTACAATCCTAGAGTCACTCTAGACTCAGGCTAACCTTAAAATACTTTACCACTCTAGGTAAGAACAGTTGTTGTACATGTAAACAACTTTAAGCGCATGAACTTATGTCACTCTAGACACAAGTAAAATTTTAACATGCTATGTTAAATATGTGCCACTCTAAGCACAGAAAATCAAGGGAAAAAAACCAGGAAACAATAATAATAACAATATTTCATAAAAAAGAAATTTTCCTTACCAGTACCCCCAGGAATAATATCATTCTTCTGAAAACTATCCTCGATTCGTGGATCATCTTGACTAACAGATAAACTCTCATCTACCTCTTCTCCGTCGCCATAATCAAACTCGCTGTTGCTTCCACCGCTTCCTGTGTATTCACAATCACTAAAAGTAGGCGAATAAGCTGGCGAAGACCAACGACGACGCTTTTGTTTGTGTTCAATCGCATCCAGTCTTCGCATCACTGATTTAAGCATAGATTTAATCTCAGCACCATTCACATCTGTCTTACCCGAACTTCTTGATCTTTTCTTCCCTTCGCCTGACATTTTTCGCGATAAACAATCGATACGAATGAGAAATTATTAAAAAATAAATTTTCTACGCCGCACGTGTGTGGCCCGGCGTGCACAGAAACGAAGACTGGATGATACCGAAGGTCAGAGCCGAGAGTGACGTGCTAGGGGAAGTAGGCTTCTTTCTTTAAAAATCTGTGGTCCGGAGCGGGAAGCGGGGGTACTACAAGACATTTATTTACGAGACGGAACAGTAATATAATTGCAAACTGTGAAAACCTCGTTTAAAAGTAAAATAATCCGAAGGCAAGCACAACGAAAATAAATTTTCGTTACAATTTGTACCAGCTCTGTTAACATTTTGCTGATATTTATTTATTCTTTCATCTCTTAATTAAATCTATTACCTTTTTCAAAAGATACAAATTTTAAAAATAAAACTTTCGTAATGATATAAATTGTAAAGTTAAAGGTATAGAACTGATACGGAACGGAAGCTTACGTATATCTTCAATAAAATAAAAAATACGGAACGGATATGGAATAGAAACGGAAGGTATAGTGAGAATCAACCTTTAAGTGTCCAGGTTTCACATGCATATGTTATGACTGGTAGTACACATTGGTCGAATGTTTTCTTCTTTAGATAAATTGAATTCTAGATTTGAATATGATTGAGTTTCTTCCATAAGTACTCCATGCTTATTTAATTCTTCTATTGATTTCTGGTAGTAGAGATCCAGAGCTGTATATCAGTTTTCCCAAATATCTTTTGCTATTTCCAGTATTGTGTTATTTATTAGAATAGCCAACAAACTCCCCAGAAATATTTCAGATAATTAATCAACTAAATTATACAAAATCTGTCGGTGATGACAACTTACCTGTGCATATCCTTAAGAGTATTTCTCATTATATGTCGGATCCTATAGCGTATATAACAAACTTGTATTTTTCTACGGGTATTTATCCTGATCAGTTAAAGAATTCATTAATTAAAGCTGTGTTCAAGAAAGGACAGATCGACGATGAACATAATTATCCACCTATATCTCTACTTCCAAACATCGGGAAGATTTTTGAAAGAATAATTTACAGTCGAATATCAGATTTCTTAGAAAGCCGCGTCATTATCTCGGATAGTCAAAACGGTTTTAGAAAAGGGAAATCGTCAGTAAGAGCGATTTATCAAGTACTAACAAAAGTACTAAATTCATTGAATAAACAAAGCTAACTGTAGCAATTTGTATTGATTTATCAAAGGCGTTCGATTGTGTAAACCATAAAATACTATGCCGGGTTCTGGATAAGTATGGCATCCGGAGTATGGCGTTGGAGCTAATAAAATCTTATTTAGTTAATAGAACCCAGCAGGTTTTTGAATATGACAGTCAGGGTAGATTGTATATAATTTATACGAACGAGCTACCTAATATAGCGAGAGAACATACAACTCTCTATGCCGATGACACTACGCTGATCTTTGATGCAGAGAATGCAGAATTAATGGGAGTTAAAATTAAAAGAACTTGTGATATATTGGTGGAATATTTTTCGTGAGAATGGGTTTATCGATGAATACATCTAAAACGCAATGTGTAGCTTTTGGTAACAGAGCAGAGAATGCGTTTACACTTCAATATAAAAATGATGAAATTATTACAACTAAGAACGTTTCTCTGCTTGGTGTTGTCATTGACAGCAGATTGGATTGGAAAGCGCATGTTGATGGTGTTGCAAAGGGGGTATCAAGACACGGCATTGACAGCTGCATTGACAGCTTATTATGCTTTTGTGCAATCTAAAATGAGATATGGCTGGGTCATTTGGGGAAATTGTACTGATATAGGTAGAATCTTTCTGCTACAAAAAAGATGTATTTGAAATATATTTAGGATGAGCCGTTTAGAAAGCTGCAATCGGAACAAATAAATGAATATCTATCTATCTATCTACTTTTTTTGTGTGATAGTTTGTTGTACATTACTTTACTTTTTGCTAAATTCATTTTGAGACCTACTTTATTGCCGGCTGTATTTAGTTCGTTAATTTGTGCTTGTAGTTCTTTAGGACTATTGGCAATTAGAACTATGTCATCAGCGAATCTTATATGGTTAAGTTATTCTCCATCTATTTTTAATCCTTTGTTGGTTCCGTCCAGTTGACGGAAGATTTCTTCTAGTGTTGCTGTAAACAGCTTTGCAGATATCGCGTCTCCATGTTGTACTGCTTTGTCAGGGAAATCTGGTGTTGTTTTATATATCATTACTCTTGGCTTTGACTTCTTTGTATATATTAGCGAAATTATCTATATAAGACCTGTCAGTACTTTCTACAGGGCTTCTATTAAATATTTTGCATTAAAAATAAATAAATAATTGAAAAGGCTCCAGAATCGCCATTAATTTTGTATTATTCAGATTAAATTAAAATTCAGACTTTAATCCCCTAAACGAACCTCGTAAAGGAATCTCCTAATTTTCTCGGTTACGGCCGGCTAATATATTACACATAAATTAAATTTTTATTAATCCATTTACAGGCATAATGATATTATTATCGTTGATTTTAATTTTCTCAAAATGTCCGCATCTCATTGAATAGCCATTCTTAATTAAAAGCTTATTAAACGAATTAGTTAAGCCTTATGGCGGCCTATCAAAGGCACCGTACTCATGACAAGGCTCCTTTTGATGAAATAATATATTGACAAAAGATTAACGGAATGGATATGTGAAGCGCTTTATTTGAATGGCGAATTAAATAACAGGTTCGTATGTCTTTTCTAGGAGGCTTGAAGAATTTTATGATGATATATAGTCATAAATACATGTAAACGTACTAGGACAGGAAATATTTTATTATTCACACAGATGTATACAAAATATCAGGGTTGGAAAAAATCATGATTTTTTAAAAAAAATAAAAAAAATCAGCTTTTTTTAATTTAAATCGGATTTTTTTGATTTAAATCAGATTTTTATGATTTTAATTCAAAACAGTATTTAAATCGTATTTCCAAATGACTAGGACTTATTTCCAATTAAAGTTCTATCCTAAATGGCTAAATCTTAATAACTCTGAGCGATACCGATAACATTAACAATTCTACGGGGCGTGTCATTTTTCCACATCGGTCACCAATATATTCTGCAAAAAAGTCACTCGCTTCAGATCAAAAGGATTTTTTTTCAAACGTCTCAAAAGTATTAATTTTTGTCATTCTAACGGCTATAGGCATAAAAGTAAAGCACTGTTACGCCTAAGCACAAAAGTACACAAATATATTATTAAACTGATATTAGGTGTCAAATTCAACGAGTTTACAAATCGTTTCTCGATTACTGTGTATTATTTGCAATGTTTGAAATTGATTAAAAAATTATTTGGAATTTAAAAAAAAATAGTTCATTATTCGGAGTAAAAATGTACTTTTTGTGCCTCCTTGTAACGTCGGAAAAGCTTACGATGGTATAGCTTTACGATGGTCCTTCAAATGTACAGCATCGTCAAAAAAAGTATAATTTCTACTCTTAATAAAACAATACACTATTGTTCGGAAATAGTCTTAAGTCGAGAATGAAAATAGTATTATCTAATGCCAAAGTGTAAAGTACCCGAACTTAAAACCATCTCTACTAGAGTAAACGTTAATACACAATAATTATATTACTGTTCCGTCTCGTAAATAAATGTCTTGTAGTACCCCCGCTTCCCGCTCCGGACCACAGATTTTTAAAGAAAGAAGCCTACTTCCCCTAGCACGTCACTCTCGGCTCTGACCTTCGGTATCATCCAGTCTTCGTTTCTGTGCACGCCGGGCCACACACGTGCGGCGTAAAAGAAATTTATTTTTAATAAGATTTCTCACATTCGTATCGATTGTTTATCGCGAAAAATGCCAGGCGAAGGGAAGAAAAGATCAAGAAGTTCGGGTAAGACAGATGTGAATGGTGCTGAGATTAAATCTATGCTTAAATCAGTGATGCGAAGACTGGATGCGATTGAACACAAACAAAAGAGTCGTCGTTGGTCTTCGCCAGCTTATTCGCCTACTTTTAGTGATTGTGAATACACAGGAAGCGGTGGAAGCAACAGCGAGTTTGATTATGGCGACGGAGAAGAGGTAGATGAGAGTTTATCTGTTAGTCAAGATGATCCACGAATCGAGGATAGTTTTCAGAAGAATGATATTATTCCTGGGGGTACTGAGTGGCACATATTTAACATAGCATGTTAAAATTTTACTTGTGTCTAGAGTGACATAAGTTCATGCGCTTGAAGTTGTTTACATGTACAACAACTGTTCTTACCTAGAGTGGTAAAGTATTTTAAGGTTAGCCTGAGTCTAGAGTGACTCTAGGATTGTACTTACCTAGAGTGGTAAAGTCTTAAAATTAGCATGAGTCTAGAGTGACTTATACTACCTTAAAATGGGTGCGAAAAGTGCCTATCTTTTTCGAGTTTTTCCCTAGCAAAACCTAGAGTGGTTGGATATTATTACCTAAAAATGGGTGCGAAAGTACCTATCTTTTCGAGTTTTCGCAGAAAAAAAATATCCAAAAAAAAAAATTGGAAATTTCCCTTGTTTTTTATTGGTTTTTACAGATACCTTAACACCAGACACAGGGCCAAAAACAAACATCATTTCTATTCTTGAAGGAGACGAGATTCAAGAGAAGAACTTTTCTGAACCCATTCTTGAGGAGTTAGTTCCACGTTACATAAAGCTTTTGGTAAATGGGTTGAAGGAGGAGGTAAAGACAGACCTCATTAAGAAATATCTTCCCCCTGAAAATTTTAAGGAGATTGTGCCTCCCAAAATTAACCCAGAGGTTAGGGTAGCTGTCCAGGATAACACCCTTAAAAGAGAAAACTAAGATTATCAAAGAAATACAAAGAACAAATAGCTGCGGTCATTTCAGCCTTAGTTCGATTTACCTCTGATTTAGTTAAAAAAGGGGGGAGGATAATATTAAACAGGTTGAAATGTCTAATGACGTTTTGCGCCTGCTTTGTGATGTATTTCATCACGAGTCAGTGTCAAGAAGAGAGCTCTTACTACTAAACTTGAATAAGGACCTTAAAGAAACCTTACAGAATACTCCGATTTCCGAGTTATTGTTTGGTAA